CACGCCGTGGGCCAAGAGCGGATCGACCATCACTCGCCACTGGAGCGACCGAAGAAACTGGGGCCGACTGCGCAACCATTCGCGCGTGAGCTTCCCGCATGAGCTGTCGCGCGTGAGCGTTCCCTCCTCCGCGGTGTGTGTGTGTGTGTGTCTGTCTGTCTGTCTGTCTGTCTGTCTGTCTGTCTGTCTGTCTGTCTGTCTGTCTGTCTGTCTGTCTGTCTGTCTGTCTGTCTGTCTGCCTGCCTGCCTGCCTGTCTGTCTGTCTGTCTGTCTGTCTGTCTGTCTGTCTGTCTGTCTGTGTGTGGCACGCAGGCGGTCCGCGGGCGCCGCGGCGTTAGGTCGCCATGTGTTTTTTTGTTGTTCGCGCAGGTCCTGCTGTGCTCTTGCCAGTTTGGGGGGGGAGCGCTCGAGTCCGACTGCTGCAATTACCCCTCGGTCGTTGAAAGTACGGTAGGTTTGCGTCGTGTCGACCAGCGGCGACCCCAGCGCGGGCGTGCAAGGTTGAACGCCGCCAGCGACCCAGAATCGATCGATGTTGAACGATCGGACGTTGCGGCAGCGGCCGATCGTTCAAGGTTGAACGATCCCTGCGGTGTCAAAAACCAACGCTGGGGTCGGCACGACACGAACCTGCCGTAGGTGTTTTCGGATTCCCAGAACCCCATCTGCTTCAAGCGCCTTCCTGCTTCAAGGATCGGTCTGCTTTTGCTGCGTGCTGCTACTCTCTGGGCGGGCCCGAACCCAATCTACTTTATCCGCCTTCCTACTTCATGTTTCTACCCACTTCTTCCGACCGGTGGGTATTCCCGAAGAGATTTTACAGTTCGCTCGAGTCGATCGTGGATGGTCGACCCCGTGGCCTGGCGAGGGCCCCTCGCAGGCAAGGGACGACCAAAAACCTCCCGTCGTGCGAAGGCAGCATGTCGGGAGGTGAATTATGTGTCGGCACTGGTATTTTCGCGGTCGACAGCCGGCTGGATTCTGGGCGAATCCAGTTAATCCCGACTAATCCTGCTTGATCCGGCTGAACCCTGGCTTGATCCGGTGACGTGGCCTTCCAATCGAGCTTCATCGCCCTGAGTCGTTCCAGCGAAGACCTCCCAGGAGTTGCTTTCTAATTTCCTCCAGGAGGGCGGCGCGAGGCCCAGGAGGGCGCGAAAATTACTGTGCCTCGCGCCTCGCGGGGCGTGATGCGCGACATTGGGTGACTTAGCCTGGGAACGGCCCCCCCACCGGGAACATAACAAATGGGCAGGAGCGTGGTTGCCCGTTGGGCCCGGCCCCCCCCCCCTCCCCACACGGCAGCTCGTGTTCTGAAGCTTGTTTCGTTCGGTGTGCGAACCACAGCTCTGAACAGAGCACCGACTACTAGAATGATTCAGAAGTGGTTTGAGGCATGCCTACCCCTGCAATTGCGATGGCGTGTCAGCGTCAGAACATTGACGACACTAGGGCCCAATCAGCGAGCGTGCGATACCTTTGATGTCGGGCATGGTAGATGAATGTGGTTAGAATGGTGAGATGGACATGGCATCATTGAAGATATTGTGCCATGTTGTGTGGAAAAAGTCGGTGAGGTGTTCGAGGAGATTACCGTTGCGTCCGAGGAGGGGGTGGCGAACGCGGTCCGACGACCTTTGCAGCAAACGATAGATCAGTTGCAATTGTTTGCAGACGTGTTTCCCCCTTCATCTCGTCTGCCGCTTGGTCGATTTGTTTTAGGGGCCCTACCATGCGCGGCCGCGTCCGCGCGAGGGCCGTGCTGTCGTGGCACATGGCGCACGATGTGCAATTAGCTGACCAGCGCGCGTTCGCCGCGTTTGCATTCCAGTCTCACGCGCAACTACCCGTTGTCAACACACGAGGAGGTCGCAGGGGTGGTGAGAAACGGCAGCAGCACGGTTTTTCATTTCAGGTGCACACTTCCACCATCCAGAGGGGATTTCCCGTCCCACGAGTGATTACACATCGGCATCTTTTTTCAAGTCGCAGTCGCGGCATCATTCCGAGTGCGACTTGTCGCATCGCAGTTTGCGGTCCCTCTGGGTTGCAGGCATAGTTTCGCATATGCAATCCATGTTCTGCCTGGTGGAATTAGCGGCAAACCGCGGAGACTCTGGTATCATCAACACGCAAGTTCCCATGAAGGTTGAGCAGGAGGGTGGATATCCCGGTCATTTGGGGGCCAGCACGGGGCCAGTTTGGGGTTGTTGCTTTCGCATCTGCCAGAGCCCAGTCGCATCCGCAGGAGGAGGAGGAGGAGGAGGAGGAGGAGGAGGAGGAGGAGGAGAGTAGAAGGAGGAGGAGAAGGAGAGTAGAAGGAGGAGGAGGAGGAGGAGGAGGAGGAGGAGGAGGAGTAGAGTACAAGGATATTGAGGCGCGATGCCCAGATGATTAATTCCTTGGTGTGCCGCCTGATAAATGACCGAGCAGGTATCACAAGTTGGCCGGCCACCTTTTTTTCTACGTTGATGTGGTTCTCCGCTCGAGAAAGGAATCTCGAAGAAAACCACATAAACATAAACATATTTGTTTGGCGCTCCGCGCGGATTTCTTTGATCCGCGCCTGGGCCTGGGCCCCCCAGCGGCGCCTCCGGCCCCGGCTCTGGCGCGCGCTGCGCGCGCCAGGGAGGACGGTCCAGCGCGGATCCAAGCAATCCGCGGTGAGCGCCAAAAGTTCCCAAAACAGCTTGCTGAACGGGGTGCTGTTGTGATAGAAGCTAACTCCGGCCGAGGGAAGCCGAAGCAGAGACATCCTTACAACAATTTGATGGTCCGGGCCGTTTCGCTTCAGACATCCTCACAACTCTCGTTTCTGAGTTGGCCAGGATTGGCCGTTTCGCCTGAGACATCCTCGGAAAGTTTCGCTCCGGGACGCCGTGCGAGAGGTGGTCCGGGCCGTTTCGCTTGAGACATCCTCAGAACTTTGAGCCCCGAGGTGCCGTGCGAGAGGTGGTCCGGGCCGTTTCGCCTGAGACATCCTCGAAACTCTGAGCTCTGAGATGCCTTGCGCGAGGTGGTCCGGCCCGTTTCGCCTGAGACATCCTCGAAACTCTGACCTCGGAGATGCCGCGCGAGAGGTGGTCCGGCCCGTTTCGCCAGAGACATCCTCGAATTTCTGAGCTCTGAGATGCCCTGCGCGAGGTGGTCCGGCCCGTCTCGCTTGAGACATCCTCGCAACTCTGAGCTTTGAGATGCCGTGCGCAAGGTGGTCCAGCCTGTTTCGCACAAGACATTCTTCCCAGATGACGCGCAAGAGGTGGTCCAGCCTGGGGGCCCAGAAGACCACATGTTACATATCCTCCCTGGGACCCTGGGAGCCCCAGGAGGCCCCAGAGAGCTCCAGGAGGCCGCAGGACGCCCAGGACAGGCTCCCCCCCTGGACCTGGCCCCAGCTCCCCTCGCCCCCTGGTCCTGGCACTGGATCCAGCCTACCCCCTGGTCCCGGCCCCAGCCCCCCGTCGAAACAAACATTCGAGCAGGTCCCAATCGACAACCGCTGATTCAGCACCAGGGCGCCCTGACCCCACCTGCCCCTCCTCCGTCTCCTCCTCCTCCTCCTCCTCCTTCTCCTCCCCCTCCTCGTCGTCCTCCTCCTCATCCTCATCCTCCTCCTCTTCCTCCTTCTCCTCCTCCTCCTCCTCCTCCTCCTTCTCCTTGTCTCCTGGATGCCCCCACCTGCGCCTCCTCCTCCTTCTCTCTTCAAATGTGCTCCGCTTCCCGACGCTCGCAGACGGCACACGAGGCGTGCACGAGGGCCCCAACGAGCCCCAAGGCGGCGCCAAACCGGCCCAAGAGGCGCCAAGACGGCCCGCAGGGTTCCAAAACGGCCGCATCACGCCCACCATTGCTTCATTCTGCCCACGAAGCATTCAAGACGCCCCAAGGAGGCTCCAAACTGCACTCCGAAGTAAATCGCCGCAGTGAGGAGAAATAGAAGATGTTCAATAGTTCTCATTGCTTTCTAATTGATCCTCTGCTCCGCTCCCCGACGTGCGGAGACGGCCTGGGAGGCATCCACGAGAGAGCCCCCGCACACCGCGAGAAGGCTTGCTTTGAGCCTCCGCATTCCAAAAGGGTTTTACACGCGGCCGAGGAGCCCCAAAAGGCTTCCCAAATGATCCTCGACATCCCGACAATGCCCTACAGAGGCCTCCACGACGGCCCCTATTTTGCCGCAACCATCAGGTTCCGGAGAGCCCTGTGGGAACGTGATTCTCGTCGCCCCCCATCGAAACAGGAGATTCTCGATATTTCAAATGAGCCCCGCCACACCGAAAGGGGCTCACAGGGGCCTCCACGAGGACTCCCACGCGGGCGCGCTTGCAGGTTACCGGGGGGCCTTTCAGGAACCTGATTGTCGTCGCCCGTCCCGCAGCAGGAAGTTATCCAACATATTCTGGGGTTTTCCTTCAGAGTCCCCTCAGAAAATGATCTTGGCAGCTAGTCCAAAGAAGACACGGCGAGGAGGAGGATAACTGGCAAGTCGTATCATCAGGTATCCTGTTTTGTTCCTGGCATCCTGGGTTCGGACATCCTCGGTGCTATTCTAGAGTAAGCTCGAGCCGAAACTCGCATGTAGGACGCGTGTTTCTAGTGTGTGTGTGTATATACACACACGTGTATCTGTATACAGGACATATATAACAATGTGCATATACCCACACACGCATGGCACATATATTTAGAAAGACATACAAATGTGCGATGCAATCTTTGTGGTGCAAACTACGTGGTAGAGCTACGCACTGTGAACCAGTTGGGGTTTTAGCTACGAAGGGCTGTATACGTGGTGCAACATCTGTGATGCAACTAGTTTTTCCAAACTCACTTGTTGTCAACTCCATCCCCCGCGCAATCATCGCACCCTTCCGCCCGCAACTTCGTTTACAACATCCATGCGGCTGCGATTGCGGTGGCTGTTTGGCCATGTTTGGCGCATTTCTGCGGTCGCGCTGACGCGCACGTGCTCGTGCGCAGAGCGGCCAGCTAGTTTGGCACAGCCGATGCGGTCTCGATAGCGTTTGCCGATGGCAATGTCCGGGCGCGTGTCCGAGACCATTCTTGTGAGCGGGCGACGCAATTCGGGTCGGTGATTCTGGCGGGCGTGGTATCATGATGACGTCAACAATGGCGGCACAGATGATGTTGTAGCGAGAGTTGCGGCGATGGTGTTTATGATGTTGATGATGATATCGACGGCAAGACAATGACGGCGCCGATGCGGTCAACGCCGATGACGATGTTGATGTCCATGTGTTGATGATGAAGTTGGTTGAATGATGGTGGCGGCAATTGCGGCGATAATCGATGACGATGACGTGATGCGGCGGCGCTGGTGAGGGTGATGGTGAAGACATGCGCGCGCGGAAATAACCATGGCACGGTACTGGTCAACAAATCGTGGGGTGCTATTACGTAGTGAGGAGTTGTATCTTGAAATGTTTCGAACACCAGTGGTGTTGAAACGAGTTCGACATGTTGACGTGGCGACGCGCTTGCTATGCGTAGGTTGGAGATATGTGCACACATGGTATATTTGGAATGGGTTCGCTTTGTGCGCGCGCGTGTTGATTTAGTGTTTTCTCGCAATGAATTATTGCAGAGCGACCTTCTGCGAGAAGCGACTGCGCGCCTGCGAGATGTGAGCTCATATGGTAAATTAACGACGGGGCAGACTCATATGTAATCTTCCGCGTCCCATTGGGTACCGCTGCGTCCGGGGGGGGGATGTTCCTTGTTATAAATGATCACAAGAACGCGACCAGCCACAATCACAATCATACGAATAATGATACGAGTAATACGAATACTAAAACTTTGTGGTGCAAGCTACGTGGTGCAGCCAGCGCACGAGGCGCCCACCAGGTGCCAGACGGGCGGCCACCTGGCGCGAAAGCCAGGATACCCGCGCCAGCGCCCGAGGCGCCCGTGGGCGGCCACGGGGCAAACATGCCAGCAACCCATGCCAGCACACGAAGCGCCCGCAGGCGGCCACGGGGCAAACAGCGCACAAGAAAGAACGCCGTAACTGTTCATTGTTGGCGCTCCGCGCGGATTTCTTGGATCCGCGTTAGGCTCTCTCGGCGGCGCCTCTGGCGCCGCCCCTGGCGGTCTCCGCGCACCAGGGATGGTGGTCTGGCCCTGATCCAAGAAGTTCGCGCGGAACGCTAACAATGCATGTTTATGATGTTGGTTCTTCTTGTAGAACATTTGGATCCCCATGCGAACGAACGACTGGAAAATCGAGGAAGAGCCTCTAAGCGCAAGCGTTGTTCGGGGAAGGGGGAGGTCAAGGGAGGTTGCCGTCCAGTAGCGTCCGCGGATCGCCGATGCGGCGGATCGCGGCAACGAGCGGGTCTCTGCTGCAGGCACGCTTCCGGTTGGAAACCGACCTCAACATGCCTCCGCCCATCCTCCGTGCCCCACCCCCCCTTCTCCCTCGCCTCATCCTCCCTCCCATCCTTCCTCCTGAAACTCTCCAGCCTTCAGATGCTGTCCAGGAGGCCCCCTCGTTCAGGCCTCGTTCAGGGAACGCCGAACATTGCCGTCGCCCTGGACCTGAGTACACCCACGTCATTCTTTTGGACATGAAGCAGAAGGAAGAGGAGGAGCAGGAGCAGCAGGAGGAGCAGGAGGAGGTGAGGAGAAGGAGGAGTAAGAGGAGTAAGAAGAGGGGGGAGGGAGGAGGGGGGAGTGGGAAGAGGAAGAGGGAGGATGGTGGAGGAATAGGAGAAGAGGAAGTGGAGGGGAGCGGGGAGGAATAGGAGGAGTTAAAAGGACAGAAGGTGAGGGAGGGTGGGGTAATAAGGGGGGCAGTGTGCAGTGCATGCGTTTGGGGCAGTCCCGCGCATAGGGACAGCATGGGCGGCCCCCCAAGGTCATGCTTCTCCAGATGCTCGCGACCATCAACACGTGCGCGCTGATGATGACCGAGGACCGGGGAGGAGCAAAGGGAGGACTGGCGGGAGGAGGAAAGGGGCGGGACTGGGGCAGCCCTCGCCTGTCTCCTCATCTTGTTCGTTCTATTCCTACTCCTCTCCCTTCCTCCTCGGGCCGTAGCCGTTTTGTCTCAAGATGGCGTATCTAAGGACCGTCACCACCAGAGCTGCCACGGGTACCTTGTCGTCCGAGGCTAGCTTTCGGTCGGGCGTCCGGCGCGTGCGCTGCCGAATCGCGATGCTGCGAGGAGGTGGCGGGGCGAGCAACGACTGGCGGAACTGACCAAAGGATCCGAGGAGCGGCAGCTCTCTTCCTCGCAGCAGCTATTTGGTGTGCGGCTGCGGGCGATGGAGGCGCTGCCACTCAATAGGCAGTAGGGAGGACAGATGCCATCGTGGGACGAAGCTGGCCATGGCCGCCTTGGTCCTCCCTGGCACCTCCACAACAAGGACAACGGGCACAGCGACGGACGCGACGCTCAGACAGCTGGACTGGAGACGGAAGCAGCCCCCCAACCAACGACGTGAGCTTGGTGGAGCTCGCGGCCAAGAAGCACGCAGCCCTGGGCAAGGACGGCCCAACAAGAGCAACCTACGAGGAAACCTGGCCCGCACTGGCGGCAACCCAGCCATCTGCAGCTGCACCGCTGTGTGTGTGTATGTGTGTGTGCCACGAACAGTCGAGGCCGCCACCAGGAAGCTGGACGAGACTCAGAAGCTCACGGGAAAGCCCGCGGTGTCGATCGAGAACGCCAAGCAGCATTTGGCCGACTGCGAGAAGAAGCTCCTCGACCACACCGCAAACGTCCAAGAAGCAGAGGAGGAGCTCTTGGTCGGCGAGCCCCGGGTTTCGTGGCTAAAAGAAGGACCCAAACACTCCTGGCAGACGACGAACGCGAACCAGACGACTTCCACAAGTGTGCCGACACGGACAAGGACACATGGAGGCAGGCCGCACTCACGCTGGAGAGCATGGCCCAAACCGCAGCCGACCATGAAGCAGCAACCAACAATTTGAGCTCAAGGCGGACACCGGAAAGCATCAAGAAAAGCTGCGGGCGATGGAGTAGGCAACGACTCAGAGGCGATCCGACCAAGCTGCAACCGGAGAAGGCGAAGCAGCTGGATAATACGAACGGCAGTCAAGTCGAATCATAATCAGCACCGACAGAGCCAGCCGCAGCCAGGAAGCAGGAGACGATGCAAACGGGGCGGCGGCAGCGCCATACAAAGGCAGAGGTCCAGGCGGAGGCGCCGAAGCAGAAGCTTGCATGGCCAGGGTCGACGCTCACGCCTTTGACGCCCGAGCCAGGGTCGCCGACGCCGAGACGGCCGAACACCAAGCGGCGGAGCAAGAAGCAAAGCCGACAGGAGATTAAAGATGTCAAGGGGGGAGAAGAAGCCTCGCCGCACGTTCCACATCGACTTGCCCAACGTCACCGCCCTGGGCCCCCAGGCGCAAGGCCGTCCCAGCGCCGCGCTTGAATCTGGAAGCGGGGCTCGTGGAGGGGGCCGGGCGGGCCCGTCGGCGCCCGGCCCGGCCGCCGCGCACTCGAACGGAAGGGGCGCCAACGAAAACAGGGCCCCCCTCGCCCACCTCGGACCCTTGATGGGGCGCGGGGGAGAGGGGGGGGGCGGGCTCGGCGGCCAGCGCCTCCGCCGAGCAGCGCAGGGGGGCCCTCCCCCCCCCGCGGCGGGGGCGCCCTCTGGGTATCAGGGCAGCGCCGAGCAGCTCAGGGCGCCCGACCCAGCCGCCGCGCAGTCGATGGGAAAGCCCACCTCGGGCCCGCGACAGGGCATGTGGAGGAGGGGGGGGGCCAGCGCCTCCGCCGAGCAGGGCAGGAGGCCCCCCTGCCCCCTGCGACGGGGGCGCCCCATGGGAAGCAGGGCAACGCCGAGCAGCCCGGCAACCTTGAAGATGGTGGCGATGGGAACGAGCACGGCGGCCCCATCGACAACGGCCCCCGCTTCGACACCGCGGGCCGACCTTGTCTGTCTTGCGAATTTAGGCGGAGACAGCAGGCAGGACGGGCCCCGCCGAGACCCCGCGCGCTGACTCGAGGGAGGCTGGCCGAGAGGGCGGCGAGGGATCCTTGTTCGCCGAATCGGCTGGAGGGCCTGAGGCGGGTTCAGCGCCAGCTTCAGCGACGCTCGCGACTGGGGCCGCCGCGCAGGGCGGGCCAGATGAGGGCGCCCGCGCATTTGCCCCGCAGCAGACGGCAGCGCCAGCAAGCATGTCGCGCGCCCGCGCGCCAGGCGCGCCGCCGAGTGGCGCGCCCTGGACTTATTCGGCGGGCTCAACTCGGGGGGGGGGGGGGCGCCCCGGGCATCTAGCCGCGCCGCCGAGGGGCTTTCCTTGGACCTGGTCGCGACCCCGGCCATCGAACCGCCCCTCCCCCCTTTTCCAAGCAGAACCGTGCGCGTGGCAACTGGGCGCAGACTAGAGGGATGGAGAGGGGTGCCCTGCCCCCGCCAGCGCGCTGCACCTCGGACAAGGAGGACCTCGACCCATTCGCCAACATTGCCGATTTCGACAAGGATTCTGCGTGGAGGATCCAGACAGCGTCCGAACACGAGTAGAACGCATACATCCAGAACTCCGCGATGAAGTGGAGCGCGCATGGGGCCCAGGATCTAGGATCGCCAGGGGAGGGCGGTGCATGCATGAGACGAGTGGGCGAAGTGGCGCATCGACTACCCCCGGGCAAGACTCGCCCAGGAGCGTTGCGCGCCACTCTCCTGGCGATTGCAACCCATATCGACCCGACACCTAGCCGCCGACATCTGCGTCGGGGCGCCGTGTGGCGGTTCTGTTGGGGGGAGATAGTGCATCTGGCATAATGGCGCACGCAGATATTTCAGGGTTGAAATTGCTGGGCAGCGCCTCCCCCGCCCGCGCGCCCGCCCTCGCGCGGCTGCTGGCGAGGGGCGAGCGCGTCCGAGCAGACCTGCGGGAACCGCGAATACGGAAAATCGACAGGGGGGCGCAGGCAGGGGGGGCAGCGATCACCGAGGGCAGTCCGAATATAGCTTGCACGCCCAGAGCCAAGAGAGTGGAGGAGGAAGAGAAGACCGAGACAGATATTCAGAGGCAGCATGGCCCCATGACCAGCAGCCCAGCAGCAGCAGAAGGCCGGAGACGCGGCGCGCCAGGAACGGGGGAAGCCAATCGAGCAGCCAGGCAGAATCGAGGAACAGAACAGGCACTGCCGCCTCCTCGACCAGTTCTCGGACATTGCAGCGGGCGCGCTGACGAACCCAGGGATCCTTGACAATGCGAGAGGGGCGCTGAACACGGCCGCGTGCGCCCTGAATAAGCCGGTCAGGAAGGCCCGCGCCCGCTGCGACGCGACTGCGGGAAATGCCCAGCAGGTGCGCGCCGGCGCCAAGAAGGCAGAGCGCGCCCACCTATGCAGAAGCCGCGGGCCACGACGGGCGCATAGTCAACCACCCGCAGCAGCTGGTGGACCTACGGAAGCAAGCGCGAGAAAGCCGGCGGAATAGACAACGACAGGCATAATGATACACCCATGGAGTTGGCCAGTTTGAGAAGCAGCAGCCCATCAGGAGAATGGCCAGGGCACCCTCGGCGGCGAGGAGATTATCTCCATCGTCAAGCACCTGGAGCACAACGTGGGCCCGGGGTCGGACTGGTGGCGAGCGGCAGAGCTCAATGCCATAGCAAGCGGCGCCTGGAGCTCTTCGTGAACCTCCTGAGTGAAAGCGAGCAGAAGGTGTCATGGCCATGGGAGTTTTACTTCACCCTGGAGTTGCTGCTTGACGAAAAGTCAGAAGTGGGCGGGGAAATACCAAGAGTGCCCACGTCCGTGCCGCGCGGGATCTGGGGCGTAGCCAGACGCGCGAACATCGCAGCATGGATCATATCAGCAGCGGGTTTCTGGGGCACAGCAGCAGCGCGGCCATCGCCGCGAAGGGCGATGATGCGCGGACTGATTAGCGCGGAAGCCGCAACGTAGATGGGATTTCACGCCGCAGGGCCCAACCACGACGCAGCCAATTTCCACGACAGCCTTGCGCTGGAGTGTCTGGTAGACAGAGCAGTCGAGCAAAACTGCTCGACTCGCCCTCTGGCCGCGGCGGTGCATGTGCCCCTGGCCCCGACGACGATCATGGCTCGCAACATCTTCCCAGGCATCTCGGCCCCATGCATCCGCGCGGTGGCGGGGCGCGGACGTGCCGCGGACCTGGCGCGGCCGCTGCTGCGCATGAAGTGGACGCGGCCCGCAAGAACCAACATGTCGTCGTCCCACAGCAGCACCAGGACGACCTCGCGCTGCAAGTGGAAGGCGACAGGAGGGAGGTGCTAGCCACGGCGCGGAAAGTAGCAACGGCGGTGCACCGCGATTTCGCCGAACTGAGCGCCCCGATATCGGGGCAGATGTCGGCGATGGCCGCCGACGCAGGTGCTGGAGGAGGACATCGCGACCACCCTGGAATCCCTCGGCACGCCCAACAAGCAGCCAGGGGCGGTAAGGGACCTAGGAGTGGACCAGGGACTGGGCACCACACAGAGACGACCTACGCACCAGGCAAGGCCACTCAAGGCGCAGCAGGGAATCGACAGGCCCAAGAAGGTGGTCAAGACAGGCGCAGGAGAGGCAGCCACGGCGCACGCCGCAGGAGCCTATAGCCATTGGAATACACTGCCCCTCTGTTCTGAAGCAGTTGTATAGGAGGGGTACAGAGGACAGGGTGTTATACAGCTTGGAGGAATTCGTGAATTCAGCGTGGGTCGGGCTTGACGCGCCTCGAAGACAGCGCGCGCACCCGAATCGCAAGCATATAGCTATATGCGAACCCAGTGCAGTTTGCTTCCCGTCGTCGCCCTCGCCCACGCTCCGTTCCCCCTCCTTTTCTCCCCCCCCCTTGGATGGTGTCAAAAGCGTCCGCGGCTCGGGCGGGGGAGTGCCCCTTTCCACCTCCCCCATTATTCCTCGTTCCTCTTTGCCTCCCTGCCTCGCCGTCCGTCGTCCAA